TAAAATGTTGCTACAAGACTGGGTTGGTCCAGCACCCAGCCTCACTCTAAGTGGGGAAGTAGTAGAGCAGGTGGATAAGTTTTGTTATCTGGNNNNGAAGTGTCAGCTTGCATACAGAAGGCTCGGTTGGCATTTGCTAACTTGAGACATCTGTGGCGCCGTCGCGACATCCCGCTGTCTGTAAAGGGTCGAGTGTATGCCGCGACAGTTCGGCCAGTTCTACTATACGGTGCAGAAACTTGGCCATTAAGAAAACAAGATAAAGACAGACTGTCGGTGTTTGAACATACTTGGCCATTAAGAAAACAAGATAAAGACAGACTGTCGGTGTTTGAACACCGCTGTCTATGCAGCATTGCATGAATCTGGTGGGGTAGCCGGACGAGCAATGCTGAGGTTAGGGATAGAGTTCTTGGGTAATACGGTCGCCCACTGGAGCAAGTGGTCGACCTCCATAGATTACGTTGGCTGGGACATGTACTACGCATGTTACGGCCACTGGAGCAAGTGGTCGACCTCCATAGATTACGTTGGCTGGGACATGTGCTACGCATGTTACCAGTTAGGTTACCACGGCGAGCGATGTTCGCCATATCAGATACCGAATGGAAAAAAGCCAAGGGTGGTCAAGCTAAGACCTGACACGAGGGTATGAAAACCCTAACCAGGAAACTGGGTCACATAGGTCCTGTTAGGCTCCCTGTCTGGGGACCTCGGGATGATGTTCACCGATGGTTAGAGACACTGAGTGATATGGCTGGGTGTCGTAAACTAGCGTTCGTGCATCTCCTCAATTTCTTCCCAGCCTTAAACTACTGAACTTCTCCATTTTGTTTTCGACTCCACTTTCCTTTCTCCTATTCTTCATCCAAATGGGCTGCCAAAATACAGCAACCAAAACCGGCGCTCGAATATGCGTGGTTAATGGTTGTTCCAACTGAAAAACTGAAAACCTATCGCCTAGAGTGTGAGAGGACCAAAGGCCGACAGATCCCTCTATTACATGAGAGAAACGGAGGATTTGATTCAATTTCAAAGAGGGGATTCGTCGTGTATAGAGCAAATGAAGCGTGAACTGAAAAGCTGGGAAGTATACTGTACAGCTGTTTAGACATGGTTGTGCGAATCCATCGAGCCGTCTGTGTTCGAATGAATGGTGTAAATACGTCGTGCACTAAACCACATGAGACGTGAAACAATCATAGCATCTTAAACGGACAAGGTCAATGACTCTGTTTGTAAAACTTCTGATCACTGGCACCCCTACGCTGTCAAGTCTGATTTGGAGAAATCGGTACTCCAAAATGTTAGAATAAAAAGTGGCCATCATTGTCTTACGATCTAGCTGGACAACTACAGCTTGAGACATACATGAATTGATCCTCAGTAGCAAGGGTTATTTAAATTAAAGTAGTGAGTACATCTTGTGTTTTGGCAATAACTGCCAGTGGCCAGTCTAATTAGCGGAGTGACGGTATGACAAACTCTTATCCCATTATGTCTGGGGTTTGGAATCTCACTTCTTTATATTCCCATAATTCTGTTGGCTCCGAACAATATATTCTGTTTCCTCAGCAATCTCTTCACTTGCCGATCCGAAGATTCAGAGCTAATTTGAAGTCATTGATTAACATCAGAAATATGTTGACTTTGCATTTACTAATCAAGAAGACAACTATTGGAAATATGCTTTTTTGCGAGCATGTTCATTGTCGGTGGTGTTAAGTACGGAATTGCCTGATTTTTTGAAAAAAGATAAATTTATCTTCCAATGTTTTCTTCATAGTGACTTTTCTCTCTCTCTCTGTCCACAGACTCTAACTGGAATCACTCAGATTGCCCCCTCACAGGAACAGTTGGAGAAACTGGTGAACAGTCTGCGAGATGATCTAGACTATGGTGTTTGGGAAGATTTGAATCAGTTATTATCGCATTATTTTGCCCGGGATCTTGATCCTGGTGAGTTTGAACGTTCCAGTCGATATGTTTTGGAATACACCTGGGAGCAGTTGCACACAGGTCATTGGAAGAATGTTCCCGACCATTGGCGAGTAGCTTATGCTTGTATTCGAATCCTGCGTGGTTTATACATTTTGCCCGGTGGATCCGAGGCCTTGAACAAGTTGGCACAACGTGAACTACTCAAATCGGCGCTACCAGAATTCGATTACAGCTTGCTCCTTGGTTACCCAGTTTTCGATGCTGTTGCAACCCGATTAGCTTCGGCTATCCATGAGCTTATTGAAGACGAGATTGATTTTCAACCACCGATCGAAAAGCGACAAAAACAAGATGATCATGATTTGGATGCGGCCGGTAGCTCTCCACCTAGTTTGGACGCATTTGATGTGGGTAATCGACCCGTTCGTGCGTTGGAACGTATCAGTCGACCTAGTTTGGAAAAGTTTTTGCATTTACTCGCCCAAGGGCAACCTTTTATTTTGACTGGAGCAATGGACTTTTGGCCCGCTTGTCAAACGAGGAACAATAATAGAGGCTGGTCCGTTCAGTCTTGGCGTCGCCGAGTCGGTCATCGGCTTGTTCCCATTGAAATCGGGTCACGTTATACTGACGAGGCATGGGGGCAAGAGCTTATGACTGTCAGTGCATTCATTGATCGGTACGTGAACAACGGAACCGGATCGAATGAGTCGAAACAACCAATCGGCTACCTGGCCCAGCATCAGTTGTTCTTGCAAATCCCCGAGCTCGGCGAGGATGTGTTCACACCGGACTATTGTATGGTGAGCGGAATGACCAACACAGATGAGGCCACGGTGGACTCTAATGTGTGGTTCGGTCCGGCTGGTACAGTCTCACCGCTGCATCATGACAGTGATCGGGCCAATTTATTGACTCAGATTCAAGGCTGGAAGTATGTGATTTTATATACAGCCGATCAAACACTTCTCCTGTATCCTCACAAGGATCAAATGTTGTGTAACACTTCGCAAGTGGATGCAGAACATCCAGACCTTGTTGAATTTCCTAAGTTCCGCCAAGCCGAAGGTTTTCACGGTGTGCTTGGTCCCGGTGAGATGCTTTTCATCCCACCCCGTTGTTGGCACTATATTCGTGCTTTGACGGTCAGTTTTTCTGTCAATTTTTGGTGGAATGTTCTTTCCGATTTCATTCCCCCGTGGCCGACATCCGATTGCTCATCACAGGATTGATCTATACTGTATATTAACCGTTTTTTATCTTCCATGAATACTATTTTTCACTGATTTTCTCTGTTTAAGCGCAATTTTCATCCGGGTGACTCGCATATTTTATGATACTTTTGGGTGACAAACAGAATTGCATGACAATCGTCATAATGAATAAAAAGGAAACTTAATAACGATATATGTGCCCATCTATTAATGCAGTAATTAAACCGTTTTGGCAGGTTTACACACGGGCTATCTCTATGGCAGATTGCAAATGATGATTTGTGTTCACCTAACTGTTTCATCCGGACAGAAGGCGAGACTAACATCAGTATTCATTGACACTACTGGCATGTGCTTGCGTTCCACTTGCCTCCCAATTGAGCACTTTGGACTGACTATCCTTCTGATTTTTGTTGCACCCCTAACAAGTCAACCAAACATTCATAAAGCTCACTAGAATTGAGCAGAGCTCTCTTATTAGAGCTCATCAGTAATGCATATCCATTGGTGTCGGAACTCCCTAACGATTACCGAACAGCTGATGACAGGGGCCGAGAATATTTGCCGATTCGACCTCAGGGAGATATTAACATCAGAGGTTCCTGTGGTGATGGTGTTGGCGGCGGTAGTCTTGGTTTCAGTCCAGTTCAGTTCTTGTAACCATTAACCATGCACTTTCGTGCGCCGGTTTTGGTTCCTGTCTTTTGGTTGCCCATTTGGATAAAACAGCAGAGTGGTGATTCGAATGTTGAGAGCAGATTCAAGCGGAAGATAGCACACTTTCATAGACTGAAGTTACAAGAATAATGAGTAGATGCATGAGTGCCACTGTTTGTGACACCCAGCCATATCGCTCAGTGTCTCTAACCAGCGGTGACCATGCTCTCTGACATTGTATCTTGGGCATCCGTTTTCGGTGGCTTTTCTGCGTTTGTTTACTAGGTGTAGAGAGAATCTCGCTTGTCGCAGAACATGGTCCGTGTCTACGGTTGCTGACCAGTAAGAGCGGCAGTCTTCAATGGATCCTCACCAGCGGTGGCTGATGGCAATGTGGTCGATTTGAGTTCAGCGCTGTGAAGCGGTTGGCGGTCTCCATGTATGACGGTGGCGGTTTTCGTGCGAGAAGTTCATGCTTGACAGAAACAGTTCGTGGTCAGCACAGAGTTGGAGTAGGCGTTCTCCGTTATCAGTCTTGTTGGCTGGGATGCATGCGAGCCTCCAAGTAGCCTTTTTTATTCGTCCAGGGATCCCACTTGAGCATTGAAGTCTCCAGCGACTACCACGATGTCCGTTGACTGAGCACTTCGGAGTAGTTGAGAAAGGTCCTTGTAGAATTCATCCTTCACTTCTGGCGAACTGCAGTCTGTCGGTGGATACGGCGGATACGACGAATAAACATCAACGTTTCGTTCTGTAGCTTTTGACCCGTACTGAACCATCTAGATGTACGGCGCAAAGTCGGCTGTTAACCGGGATCCAATCGAGAAATGAACGCTCGGCCTTGACACAGCGCAATCCCAACACTGCAAGCTTGGGATGTCGAATTGCCTGACACGGAGAGTGAAGTGTGAGGATGAGGTTTGGATCTGGAGAACTCAAGGAGATAATTGATGTAGGGTCTTGTATGCGTGTTTCGGAGACACAGCATA